ACGGCCCCGGCCGGGTGAAGAGCATCCTCCCTCCAGTGCCGTGGGAATGCAGCTTCCTCTGGCAGCCTCTCTGCGACAGCAGGTGCATCCCACCGCTTGCAGATAATTAACTTATATTAAGATAATTAAGTTGATCAGCTTTATATACCTAAACGTAAAAAAACTATCTTTTGTTTTATGAACTGCAGTCTGCCATGCGGTTTTGTAAGTAGGTCTGCATACAGGCAAATATGAGAATAGAATGGTGATGATGGATTAGATTTTTTGAAAAGGGTCTAGGTTAAATTACATTTGCAGAATTTGTTGCAACTGTTCTTTGTTTTGCATTAGCAGCCAGCTCTGTGTGTGTGTGTGTACCTGCTACAGCTCCTGTAGGGCTCCAGTCCCTAGTCCAAGAATGATGGTCATGCACGAGAGCGATACAAGTTGTTGTGATAGCCTTGGCTTGCTCCTAAAAGTGCAGTCATACCAGGTTCTTGGCCAGACAAACACAGAAAGTAACTTTGGTAACAGTGCAAAAAGTCCTATGTGAAACCATGAGGACAGCTTGCTCACGTGGAGCTCGAGAGTGTGCATGCCAACGCTTTTTCTATTGATATTGCTTCTCTTTATTAGTGAGTGTATCATCTTAGCTTTCTGACCTACCTATTTAATTTGCTGAATTTTGACCAAAAATTTTAAATTGAGGTGGCAATGGTATGTTCACCCTGTGAGCTGGTAAGACTGCAAGTACATCTCTGTAGGTATGTGAGTCTAGGCTGACAGCTGATTCTAAAACACAAGTTCCTGCTGTAAGTAGCTGGCTAGTCTCTGAGGTTCTTGTATGTTTATTTTTATCTGTTCTTGTTCTGAATCTCCTGAAAAAGCGTGTTTTCATTGCTTCCTTTGAAAGATTAACATGATGTGTTCTAAAATTGCTCTCACAAAGCTTGTCCTTCTTTTCTGTCCACATTTTTGCATTCTCAGTGCAGTTGCTCTTGTTCTAGTTATGTTCACTGGCATTACTATAAACCCTCTTCCATTGGTGTTTATGCAGTCTAATGTTTGCACACTCTAACTCTTCTATTCATTCCTGATTAAATGAAAGCTTAAATCTTCTCTCAATTCTTTCCAGCCCCATACTCATTTTATTGCTCTTTGATCTCCTTTCTGCATGATGAAACTTAACTTGTGTATTTGTGTTGCATGACTTTCTTGCTAACTTGTCTAATTTTTTCTAATCTTTGTTCTCCAGAGACACCTTAATCTGTGCTTGAAACATAGCAAACAGCAGAACTAAATTGATTTACATTTCAGCCAAGGTAGAAATTTATCTCCACAGATTGCAGATTTATTTTCTAAGATAAGTTAATTAAATTTTGGGCTTCAGGATGCACCTATTTTTCCAGGTATGGAATATTCTCTCCACAATTAAAAAGGAAGGTAGTGGTGACTGCAGTACACCAATGGTCTGGCTAATCTAGTAGCGTCAGTTTATTTTTTTAGGCAAGCAGTGATGTAGTGTGGTACAGATATGAGGAATGCATTTATTAGGAATATTATTTCTGATTGTTTCTGTTGCAACATGGCAAGGCTGACATTATCTTTATTTCTTTTATTCCCTGAACTAAACTGCCTTAATATTTTAAACCTTTAAGCGTTGTTTTTTGTTTGATTTTACAACTTCCTTCTTTAGAAAGTCTAATCTGAATTTCCTGTTCCCCCTTCAGCAAATAAAGTTGTATCCTCTATATAATATAATATTTCAAGTAGCTTTTTCAATATTCTTAGCAACTTGCTTCAAGATGTTGACTTTCCAGTTTCCTAGACTAATGTTCTTAATTTAAAAAACCCCAGGAATTGTACTAAGAGAATTCCTCAACAATGTATATGAAATTAATCTACAGGTAAAATTGATACTTGGGCAGAGGGGCTCTTTCCTGAAGCATTGGGATTTTTAGTCTGTCTATATTGTTAACTTGTGTGTGTATGCAAGCAAAAAAAGTCTTCTTCCCATATACAGTGACTCCAACACAGTACTTCTTTCTTTGTTTTTGTTCCATTTTTAAATTTTTCAACAAGTGTATTGGCATTATGAAATACGCTTGCAGTATTGCAGAATACTATAACCTGATAGTTAAAAAGCTCAAAGAACGTGAAACCTTCCAGTGGTACTCCAGCAATCCCCCATGCAAACAGATAAGCCTGGGCCTGAGGGTCAAACTCTTGCTTTGTCAGATCTGTTGTTAGCAAGTTGCAGAGAAGATTTACCTTGCGTTCAAAATTCTGTTTTGCTGTTTGCGGCATTCTCTTAAATATAAATGCTGTGTAAATTGATAACTGTGTGCAGCCCCAGGCTTGAATCCTTGCAAAAGGTCCTAGCTGGAAGCCTTTTACTTGAGAGTTGTAATTAATCTGGCTTGCAGAATAGGGTGGAGGGAAGGGTTATTAAATATTTTGCATTATATTTCAAGTCAGACAGGCTTTAGGTTTCTCAGCAGCTGTAAGTGGGTTTGAGAAACTGATGCTGAGTTTAGCCAGGAATAGGACCACCACTGACAAGTACTGTGGCTAAATAGCCAGTGCCTGTATGTCTACAGCTCCAGAACATTTAAAATGGGAAAGGCTTCTCATTTTTATCTGTATGGAGACTGGTGTATCTAGCAGTTAATATCACAGTCCCCTTCTGATTTAGGCAATCAATATTCTTTCAGGTTCTGTAGCTGGTAAATGTAATGTACTGTGCTGAGAAAGTTGGGGAGATTGCTGGCAGACTCAATCACTACCCCATTTTTTTTCCTCCTTCCCTTTAAACTGTATGGAAATGCTTTCCTTCAGCTGGCTACTAAAGTCAAGCAACCCTACTGAATGCAGCACCAGAGCTCCTCAATAAACTCTGGTTGTGGATGATAAGTCTGTTATTATTCATAGCTTGTGTGTCAGTTAAGTGCCAGCCACAGTATCATGGTAGGAG